CTGCAAGTTAGGTGTTATCCCAATTTACAATTGTAAAAAAGTCACTTAGCCAGTGGGTTGGCAGAACCAAGGATTTAGCTGGGGTCTTGCTGACTGCTGACCCTGAGATTTTACCATTGTTTTCTGGCACATGTTACCACTTTAGCACCATCTCAAACGTTACCCTTAACAAAGGTCTCTAAAAACAGTTATAAAGAAACATTTTTGACGATAATTTTTTTTTCTCAACTTGAGTTGTGTTTCTCTTCCTCCCCTACAGAGTACAAAATTATCAGAATCCACACATATACACACTTGTGAAACTATAGTGTGAGTCACTACTCTGAGTGGTGTTACATGTAGTTTGGCTGCAAGAAAATGAAACTATCAGGAAACAGTTCCCAAAACCAGTATTTCTATTTTTTACTATTTTGTATAAAAGCAGATGCCAACGAAGAGTGAATCTGAACAAAGTATCCCAGCCCCAGATAGTAAATACATATAATATTAGTTCAGTGTTCTAAAGAGGTTGCTCAAGGTTGGTCCCACAGTAAGTTAGTAATGGAATCAAATTAGAATCCACCCTTGGGGTATTCTTTCCAGCACTCTTTCATGACACCTCTGCAGCTGTTCACGTATTGGAGTTCTAGAACAGAGAACAACTTTTTAACAAAAGCGGATTGTGCGGGGAAAGTGTTTAACACACTACAGGAATGTGTTAACTAAAGAGAGTGTCTAATTTTTGAGCACTTTTGGAGGTTGCCCACATCTTTGGATATGTGTATCATGTGCATAAACAGCATGTTTACCTCCAGGCCACCACTACACTGGGCATGTTGCAAGAACCATTCATTCCAACTAAACATCTCTGCAGGTGTCAGATGTAGCATACTGTCCCTGGTGGCCTCTCTCTTTTTCTCTCATGGTCTTCTGACTCCTTTTGATATGTCTACTAGCCCCCCCGCCCCGGCAGCTTCTGAATTCCTATTTGTATGTTTTGTTACTGAACAGTTTGTTCTGACATGAGAACTATTTTTAATGAAATTCTACAAAAACTTATCTGCTAATAGTAATCACTTGCATTTGTATAGCTCGTTACACTGTATAAAGTATCCACATATGCATTATTTTATTTGTCTTGTTAACTCTGCCAAGTGGACCAGATAACATGGGTTATCCACATTTTACTACCAATGAAACAGGGTTGGAGAAGCTTTTTAAGACTTACCCAAAGTCACAGTGGGTAGTCAACAGTGGAGTTGATCACACTCCTGTCTTCTGAGACCTAACAGGACATTCATCACTGAGATGCATAAGAGTATTTTCACTTCTAGAAAAAATGCCTGAGAAGATTGAAAAGTGCTTAATGTAAAGACTGTGGCCATGTAATTTCAGGCTTTATGGCAGAAATTGGGCAAAGATACTTTGGCGGGTGTCACCTCTTGATTCATACCAGGGACACCTTAATGAAGGAAGGTCATAGGAAGCATTTCTCTAAGATCTTATCCTGCAGTAAATAACTGATAAATTTTTTGTTCAGAGAAAAGGAAGTACATTTTTATCAGTGTCAAGGTTAAACAGAAGTCAGTATCAAGTCAAAAATACTCAGTATTTCTTCCAGTTATGTTCTAGAGCATCTTCATTAGAGGTTTTTAAGTTCTGAAATAGATGTTAACTAAATGAATAGGAACAATGGAATTTATGGGAAATTCAGATGCAACTAACATGAAATGGTGAAATTAACTACTGGCCATATGTTGTGTATCTAATGGGTCACAAACTCAGGAATTTCCTGGGTGAAATCTGTACTCGCCCTGATACACGAGGGCATGGAGAGACTCTAAAGAAAGAGGCAGGTGAGTCCAGATTGGTAGGTGGCAGTTTTAATAAGCAAGGGAACTTGTCTTCCCTTCAGCAGCCACAAAAGTTTTGTCTTCAGCAACCACAAGATGAGTAGATCTCTATAGCTGGCCCGCCTCAATCTTAAAATCTATATAGAAGCCTTAACTGTGGCCAGTCCTTATGGTTTCAACAGTACCTTACTGTCAAAGATTATGTCCTTGAAACAGCTCCTAGTGGGGGAATGGTGAGTGGAACATACATTCCAAGGATAGGGGAGGGGGTGAGGAGCCCCCACCTGCCTGGATCCAGAAGTCAGGTCAACTGACAGTTGTGTGCTCTCAGTGACCTCTTCACCAGCATCATGTTGGCTGTGGATCCCTCACAAGATTCAGTGGCATCATAATTTCTTAGGTTCTTTAGAAAATGAGGGCAAGCACTATAAATACTTTGAGGTGATAGCTGTATTATTTTGGAGCTGTTTGCTTCTATACCCTGAGGTATACAACTTGTATACCCTGAGGAAGAAAAGGTGGCATAGCCATAGTTACCAGTTATATAAAGCTTTTAACAGAAGAGATAACGTTGTTGTTAAGTGTTATTTTTTCATTTGAATTGAGAATTTGGAATTGTTTGTAGGTGCATTTTTATGATGGTTGCTTTAAAATTATAAGATAATTCTAATATCTGATTAATCTTAGTGTTGGTAGGTGATTGCCTTCCACAGATACAAGGCAACTTACAACTTATTTAAGTTGTAATATACCTGGTTCTCAGTATGACGAATTTTTTTTTTTAATTGTATCTGGGACATTTTGGTTATATTTTATGATACTTTGGATCCTATTTAATCTTTTTTTTTTTTTTTTTTTTTTTTTTTTTTCAGTAGGGAGTCTCCCTGTTGAGATGTAGGTTGAGGGCTGGATTGGTATCTATGTCTGGCTTCCTGATGGTCTGCCAATACCTCTCTTGCAAGAGTGTGGGGTGGAAATTCAGCTCCCCATTTAGTCCTACTGACCGCTTCCTGAAGAAGGTGGGACATCAGCTTGTACTGCCTGCGTTGTCTCCATGTGGTGTGGTAAGATTGAACCCTGCTGACACCACGGAGGGGGAAAGCAGAGGCCTGACTTGCCTACTTTGTTCTGCAGGGCAGGGCAGAAACTCCCTGCTGGCACCCAGAGACAGGAAGCAGGGCAGAGTGCTGAGTGCTAGCTAACCACCCGCATCCCCCTCATACTTCCTGCCACCACCTCACTGATGCTGGGTGGGCATAGAGGTTCAGCTGCCCTCTGGGCTCCACTGACATGGGGGCGGAGGGTGCTGGATTCACTACCCAGTAGGGATGGGAGGCTTTGCAGGCCACTGGACCTCACAGACTATCCTGGCAGGGGAATCCGTGTGGCTCCGATTACTGATGTGGGGAGGAGAGTGGGGTGCGGCAGAACATCTGCTCCCTACTCAGCCCCCTGAAACCATGGGGGTGGGAGGAATGCAGTTTTTCTTTTCCAATTTCCTAGAGTACGGCAGTATTGCCAAAAAGGTTTTCTGCTGATAGGCTACCCTTTTCCTAGTTTGGCTGGAAGAATAGGCTTTTCTTAGAGTGCTTCCCCCCACCCACCCCCCGGTCTGTGCATGTTGGTGGTTTCTAGTTAGAGGCTTCTGCAGCGCCATATCTGGTGTGTATGGGGGAGCGGGGGTGCCATGTGGTTCCTCAAGTCTGGAGATTCCTAGGAAGTCTGTCTTCTTCTTCCCACCTTTTGGAGTTTTTCAGCTTGTCTGTGCTCTTACGTTCACGAATTCTTACCTGTGAGAGAGAGGACCTTTGCCTTTGTAAAAGGGAGAAATGGGACTACTCCATCTTAGAACTAGAGGTCCTGTAACCGTTTTTAAAGAACTCTCTGGCATTCAGTTTGGTCAGAATATCTGCATGACCTTGTCAAAGGAGTCGTGTGTGTGTATGTATGCTCACAATGACGTATTTGAATGACTAAAATTGTCCTTCTTCTAATACCCATTATATTTTGCCTTCCTTTCACACATACACACACACACACACACACACACACACACACACACACACACACACATTTTGTGGTGTTCTTGTTGATCTGTCTTGAAAGTTCACTTGCACTTTTCTTTTACCCCAACTCCAAGCTCTTTCCATATCTTTCCCTATGATTCCTTGCCTTCAGTTTGATGAAAAAGTCAAGAGTAATCCCAAGTATCTACCTATTATTTTGCATCTGTTTGCTCATGTTGTGGGTATTATAATTTGTCTTAGTGGCCATGCTTGGAGCTTAAGCTCAGAACTCTGACTATTCACCTTTGTATCTGTAGCATCTGGGCTCAGTACCTGAGACCTCACAGATTCTCAGTGACTATTTGTTGAATAAAGTACCCATATAAGCACATCATCTATTCACACTTGTATCTCTATGGAAACCCTTCTTTGCATAGCCTTATTTGCAGCTTCTTAATTTATTTGAGAGTGAAAGGTATGGCCTCCCTGATATTGAGCCATCTCACTGTGTAACCTTGGGTAGTTCAGTATTTCAGTTATCTATTGTTGTGTAATAAGATACCTTATCAAAAACTTAATAGCTTTTGGTGCGCCTGAGTGGCTCAGTCAGTTAAGTGCCCAACTTTGGCTCGGATCATGATCTTGTGGTCTGTGGGTTCGAGCCCTGCACAGAGTCTGGAGCCTGCTTTGGATTCTGTCTCTCTCTCTCTGTCTCTCTCTCTCTCTCTCTCTCTCTCTCTTTCTCCCTCTCTCTCTCTCTCTCTCTCTCTCTGCCCCTCCCTGGTGGGCACTCTGTCTTGCTCCATCTCTTAAAAAGAAATAAACATTAAAAAAAATTTTTTAAATACCTAATAGCTGTTGTGTTTTGTTTTGTTTTGTTTTTAAGGGAGAGAGAAAATGCGTGAGGAGGGGAAAGGGGCAAAGGAAGATAGAGAATCCTAAGCAGCTCTATGCTTAGTGTGGAGCCCAATGCACAGTTCAATCCCACAGGGTCATTGACCCTGAGATTATGACCTGAGCTGAAGTCAAGAGTTGGATGCTTAACTAATTGAGCCAGCCAGGTGCCCCAAAACTTAGTAGTTTAAAACAATAATGATTTTGCAATTTGAGTAGAGCTTGATGGAAACACCTTATCTCTGTTCCATTTACCATCAGCTGGAGTGTTGTGACTTGCTCTAGAGGATATACTTCCAAGATGGCTCACTCACATAACAAGTCAGTGCTGACTGTTTGCTGGGAACTCAACTGAACCTGTCAGCCAGGGGTCTTGATTATTCTCCACATGAGCCTCTCCACATGGTTGCTTGGGCTTCCTCACAACATGGTGGCTGGATTTCAAGAGGTAGAAGCTGCCTTATTAATCCATGGCTTAGAAGACTTGTAATATTTCTTTCTTTGCACAATATTGCACAAATCATTCTTAGATCTAGCATAGAGTCAGTGTAAGGAGGGAATGTAAGCTCCATCTCTTTATGGGAGTTGCAGTTTGTATGTAGAGGGAGAAACTGAATTATTTGGGGCCATCTTTGGAGACTAACTCTCTTCCTTCAGTTTCTTTATCTGTAGAGTGTCAAATGGGCAACAATAATGCATATATCATAGACTAACTATGAATGTTGTAGGAGAAAATGTATGTATCAAGTTTAGAATGATTCTTGGCACGTGGTAAGTGGTCAATACATTTTAGCTACTAAGGCTAATTTTTCTTGGTATGAGAATGGAGAATTGCAACAAAATGCTAAGTTAGAGAAGAACATACCTTTTCCTCCATGGAATTTGTGATATCTTCTCATGAAGTCCAGTTAGACAAGTTTAATATTTCCTTTGATCGCTTCAATTAATGCATTTTCTTTGATTTGCTTCTATTTCTTAAAAAAACCAATAGAGGTTAAAAAAAAAAAGAGAGACCTCAAATTAGTAGCCATCAAGTGGAAGGAATAACCCACAATTTTGTTGTCTAATAACTTTTGGTGTCTTTGTTAGAATTCTTTTTCTTTTCACTCACTTGCGGGTATTGTTGTTCTTGATATCACTTTTCAGTCCCTCCACATTGCACTTTGAAAAAGCAGTTCTCTCAAGAGATATAATGAAGGATATTGGAATGGCATGCCCTGGGAAGCTGCTCTTGGCCCGGTCTTCAGAAGCACTCATGTGCAGAGTTATTCCTTTAGGAAAGTTACATATCAGCAGAGGTCATCAGCCAGATAAAATCCAAGGAATAACCAGGTAACTTCCAAGTCACGTAATCTCTACGTTTTAGTAATTCCAGCAAAGTAATTTCTTGTTACTATAGACAGGGAGTGATGCAGAGTGCTGCTAAAATTCTTAAGTTCATTATTTCTAGCAGTTGAAATGTCAGCCAGGTCAAAGTGCATGGTGTCTTTGTAACTAACTTGATTTTGTATAAAAAGATCCATCATGTTTGTGCTAGGTTCTAATAGCACTGCTATCCTCTATTCTTGTATTTTGATTCTGTGTCTATACCTGTAATTTTTCCAAGTGATTAAGACCACGAGTTATTCCTTCTACAGCTGACATTTCCTTATGTGATTATTCATCTCTTTAGTTCTTTTAACAACCACGTTTTATTAATGATCATTTGCTGTGCAGTAATAAACTCTGTATCATTTAGTCCTTCTGGAATTTCCTGATCCTTGATTACAGTGTAACATATCGCCTGATTAATTGCTCATCATTGCTGTTTTCAGCTTCTGCATGAACTAGTTAAGGTTATTTTTTCCCTTTTTGGTTTTACCATCCCCTGAAGATTTTCATTTTCAACAAATGTATTAGTTGTCTTCAACTTCTGTCACTTACTTTTTTGCATTCCCTGATAGCACAGAGCATATACTGACTCCTTGCAAATGGTTACCATTTACTCGTGTTTCAGTCGAGCACAGTGATTCTCAGATTTTAGTGTGCCTTAGAAGCACTTGGAGGGCTTGTTAAAACATAGATTGCTGGGTCCCACTCCCAGAGTAGGTCTGGGTATGGCCAGAGAATTTGTATTTCTAGCAAATTCCCAGGGGTGCCCATGCTGCCTGTCTAGGACCAAGAGTGGAGAACGACTAGCATAGCAGGTTAGAATAGTGGTTAAGGGCCTAAGTTCTGGGTTCAGCTAATATGGGTTCAGACAACAGCTCCCAATCTTGGGAAAGCTAAGGTCTTACAAAACTTCAGTTTCTGCATTAGTAAAATCGGAAGAGGGCCAACCTTTTAGACTCCTTGTAAGGATTAGATGAGATAATCCCCATAAAGCACTTAGTACTGTGGCAAGATGTCGATGCTTAATAAATGTTAGTATTGGTATATTTTACAAGATATAAGGAATTAATGTTCAAGTTTAATTACCAAAATTAAGAAAATGTGCCTCCTTTCACAAATTGGTCACTCTTCTTTGGATCTTGATTTTCTATATTGCTGAGTTAGAAATGCTATTTAAAAAAAAAAAAAAAGATTAGCCATGTGGACAGAAAGATGCAGTAGAGAGATCATGAGATTTGGAATCAGGAAAACGCCTGGGTTCTAGTCTAGACTCTGCTATTCCTGGCTTTGTGACTCACAGCAATTTTCTTCTCTCTCTGATCCAAGTTTCCTGTAAATATCTTCTAAAGTGGTGACATAAATGGTAAGGATTGTTATATGGATCAAATGAGCTAGATCATTTGGTAAGTTTATTTGAGTTTAATGTTCTATAATATTATTGTCATTTTTATTGAGAATAAGGGGCTAGCACAATTTTTTATTCCACTGATTCATTATCATCGTAGAAAGTCATGCATCTATGGAGTAACAATTATTGAAAAAATTTTTTCATTAGAATTGTTTTGAAGTGGTATTGACTCTAACTGGGAATTGCTAGACACTTACATATGTGACATGTTATTTTCTATTAGTAACCTAGTTAGATCTCTTTCTTATTGGCTGAAATGTTGGCTCATCTTCCGAACTTTTTACCTGGAGGGAATTGACATCTGAATGACCATATTTTCAAATGATGCTGAGGGAGAGAGAAATAATTATGCTATATCTGATAATGATTGGACCAAAAATGCACTTAGAGAAAGCTTTGTTCTCATGGTGTGAGTTGCTGAGTTTTGATAATAGATTTTAGAAAAAAAATCAGGGACTTCTTTGCATTGGATACTACAAGATTCTTTCAGAAGAGGAAAGAAGTTACACGTAATCAAAAATTTTAAATGTAGTGTTAAACACTGTGTTTGAAGATACCAAAATGAACCACTCACATTTCATGCTTTCAATGCATTTTTCTGTTGAAGAAAGCAGAACGACATGCAAAAGTCACGACATACGTTCCAAAGAAGGCCGAGTCAGGGGGCAGGGGCGATGCTGAGGGAGACAAAGGCAGGGAGATTGTTTCTGGCTGGGGAACCAGCACCCTCCCATTTTCAGGCTGCGTGCTGAGCCACATTAAGCCAGTGTGTCTGAGTATCATAAGGAGCCTGAAAAGGACTTTGTGAGCCCAATTTATTGACCTTCACAAAGGATTATATTTAAACCATCTCTGACAGATGAGAATCTATCCTCCATTGGGGGAAGAAATCCTTCCCTTGAAGGAGATTTTATAACCTTCCTTATTAACTCATTTCAGTATTTACCATCCTTTGCTTGCTGCACAGAAACCTGTTTCAGCTGCCACAGGAACATCAGGATTTGTCCTCTCTGGACTTGCTGAACACAAACTTACATCTTTTATGTAACCAAGCATCGTCATCTCTCAGGAGCCGCCATGTCACCGTCTCATCAGTCGATTACACAATTAAACAATTCTCTAGGAATCAGGATATAGTCATGGGTAAGAGCATCAAGGGTCAGGCAGTTCCAGATTAGAGTATTGGTTCCGTCACTTTCTCGTACCTGTGACCTTGGGAAAAGTTACTTAAAACCTCCAAGCCTCAATTTTCTTACCCATACAACTAGGGTAATAAACACAACATGTCTACCTCCCAGGGTTATTGTGAAAATGAGATTAGAAAATGCATGTTTTAGGTTGGGCTACATGAAATCATTAATATGTGCCCATTTTGACCACAAAAATAGCAATCTCAAGTGGTTCACACTAATAAGTGGCTGAATTTTATCAAAGATTTGACATTAATAACAATTTTTAGAAACACAAAACTTTAATAATGTATTAACATATATGATGTTAATCTAGTATATATAGCGTAATATAATGATCATATTATTATTTGCATCATTGTTATTGCCGTGGTGTGCAATATTCAGTGTAGGTGCTAGAGGATATTCCTGCAAACAAACCATTCTGATTCCTGGTGCTGTGTGTGATGCCATAAATGTGTGGAAGATAGAGCGTCTAGGTCAGCCTGCAGAGGTAAGGGAAGGTGCCCAAGAGGCAGCAGCACTTGAACTGGGTTTTCTAGGGTCAGTTGGAGATTTCTGGATAGAAAACCTAGGGAGGAAGATAGAGCAGAAGAAAGAGCATGGGCCTAAGCCACAGAGGTGGGAGGGGATAGGGGACACTCAGTGACTCACGGTGATTCTGTGCGGTGAGAACATAAACTGGGACGTGGGGGTGGAAGGAATTGAGAACAGAGGAAGGAGAAAGAAATGTCTTGAAAGAAAGGTAGATTTTACTGGGGAAGTGTCATGACTGGTTTTGCCAGTTTGGAAGCTTCCTCTGGAGGTTTTTTGGAGCGTGACTGGCCTGGAGCAAGGGTGGACGAAGAGGGATGTGGAAGGAGGCTACTGCAGTGGTCCAGCTGAGCAGTAACGTCAGCTGAACCCAGGGCGGTAGCAGTGTGCTTGGAGAGGAGTGGATGCAAATGATATGTTTATGTTTTAAAGGTCCTAGTGATGTGTGGGCTCAGTCACGAGGGTGACATACAAGTTGACTTGTGCGTGTGTGGCTTGGGCCCTGGTCACACTGTTCCTGAGATACAGGACGTAGGAGGAGCAGGAGGAGAAGACTGGGGCATGGAAATAGGGTGGGAGAGCACTGAGGACATAATGAAATGAGCTTTGGGCATGTCGTGTTCAGAGTGTATGAGAGCATTCCATCCATATCCTCTGACTTTCCTAGGGACTGATGTCTCTGATCTTACTGCCACATAAGGTGTCCTTGAGTACGTACCAAGGGACTCATGAGGCTCTTGCCTGGGCAGTTTGGGAAGATTTCACATTAGATCTCAGTTTCGCTGGAGTCTTGCCTCCCTGAGGACATTGGTCATATACCTGTGCTTATTAGATAATGGTTGAGTACAAAAGGTAGCTAACACTAATAAATAGAACATTTACTACGTGTTAGGCACTATTTCAAGTGCTTTCTGTTAAAACATCATTTAATTTTAGCAACAACTGTGTAAGGTGGGTAGTACTCTTTTTTTTAAAGTTTATTTATTTTTGGGGGGGGGTGGGAAGAGAGAGAGGGAGAGAGAGAATCCTGGGCGGGCTCTGCACTGTCAGCACAGAATCCAACACAGGGCTTCATCTCACAAACCATGAGATCATGACCTGAGCCAAAATCAAGAGTCGGACACTTCATGAACAGAGCAGCCCAGGCGCCCCAAGGTGAGTGGTATTCTTAACCTCATTTTGTAAACGAGGAAATTGAGGCTTGTGGTGGTGGAATGACCTATCCAAGGTCCTATAACTAATGAGTGGTAAAGCCGGGGTACACACTGAGATGGAGGTCTCCAGGGATTGTGTTCCTAGAAAAATGCCTAGGTGTATAATTTGGCCTAGGCTGGAGAATTGAATTGTAAGTTCCCTGTCTGTCGGGGTGATTACAATTGGATTTTAGTGTTGTTACAGCAAGCCTTATTTGGTCCAAATTACTTCACATAGTGCTCTAAGGCTTGTAGATTCCAAAATCTAGTGTAGGGGTTAAAATTTCCTCTGTCTAATCCACATTCTCCAATGGGAATGATTCTAGGTTTTGGTCCTAATCTTACTGTATCTGGTGTATTATTTCATTTTGCATTCTAGTTTGGGGCTTCTAGTCTTAGGAGTCAGAGAGGAGTTACAATTCCAGGTGATATTTAGTCTCTGCAGTACTTTAAATTCATTGCTTATTTTTAATTTTGATGGAAATAGAGATTTTTGTCTTCTGTTTTCCTTTCTTCTTCCCTGAGCCACCTGTATGATGTGCTGGTGTCCAGCATTGTTACAATCCCTCCATTCATCCTTGCTGTGAACTACGTGTTTCTGTTTCCCCAAAATTCATATGTTGAAGCCCTAAATGT